CATCCATCCATCCATCCATCCATCCATTTTCTTTTTCTCCTTTGCACTCGATATTTCCCTACATTCTCCGTCATAACGCGGCTATATCCTTTCTTCTCTTTCCGTGTATGTTATTTGTTTTCGCAAGTCACATTTTCGTCTTTTCCTGTTCATCGGTATTGTGTCTCCACTCAATTCTTTACGTGAGTGCTTCGCTATCGTTTTATCTTTTCCATATTCTCATTTCATTTTTTCCGTATCATGTCAATATTTGCTGTCTGGTACATATCTCTGTTTTCTTGTCATATATATTTAATTTTGGCTCGAATTTGACTTAAAATATATTTAAATATGTGTATCCAAGGCTCAACCATTTTCCATAAATGCGCCTCAGTGTATTGGCCTCCGTTGTTTTTAGCACATATTTTTCCCTTTAGCTCCCGAACAAAACAGAGTTATGACGTCAAATGATACATTAATTTTAAATCGGCGCTAAGCAGAAATAAAGCAAGCGGTTAAATCATTCGTTCCAGCGCCAGTTTAAGATACACCGAATCTTCCATTGCAAGCTCGATAAAAGGTAATTAATAATGGCAAACGAGCGTATCATTTAAACATGTACAATTTTTTTCTTTTTGATTTTTGATAAAAATTCGGTCCAAGTTTGAATGCAAAAGTTGCTGAGCTACGACAAGTTTCAAGAATTGCCATCAAGTATAACTAGTGAACGTTCTAGCATCAAGTTAGAATTTTTAAAAGCATGCTTTTCATACAGAGTTGCTTGACATTTTCAACTGAAGGTCATTTTGAAGGACAAAATCTCAATTATGTCTTCTTCCCCTGACTTAATTATTTATCTATTTATCTATTTGTTTGTATATTTCATTTACCTTTGCAACTTCGTGAGCATAGATATATCCTACATACACAAAATACAAACTTAGAATGGTAGAAATATTAAGTAATGAATGCGATGTCTTTTACACGTCCGAAGAAAACCTTGAACTATGAGAACTACTGGTTTTAAGTGACCATTCATATGACTTTAGCTCAAACTTGAACGTTAAATCTTGGCGAGATCGCGAAACTCCGGCCAAAATACTAGCGATTGGGTCTACGTCATGATATATGAGACTATAACTTTAGAGGAAGATTTTACATAAATGGGAAGAGCTGGAAAGTTAAAAATTGGCTTTGCAAAGTTACATAGTAATCATGTTCGTTAAGCAGTACATAGTGATCTTCAAGCATCGATGGATTCATCGAATGATAATATGCTAAACTTGTTTTCTTTGAAGCGCGACCAGACAAAAATAAAGTTTGAAGGTTATTTGACTGTCAATCAACCTGTTCAACTGCATTCATAAAACTGAGCCACATGCAATTTGGAACTGAAACCTTGAGCTTTTTCTTAGCGATTAAATTGAGTGTTTGAATTCTTCTGGTGAAAAAAAAAAGGGAAAGGAATTATCAAGTGAATGTAAGTACAAAAATATGTATTTTCTGTGATTCTGTGAAAACTACATTTGAAAGCAAATATTCAGTAGAACTTTGACTACTTTACTTCTATCTGGGACCAACCTACGATTATTATTTTATCATTTGTTCATAATCTTCTTCTTCTTCCGCTTCTTCTTCTTCTTCTTCTTCTTCTNCTTCTTCTTCTTCTTCTTCTTCTTCTTCTTCTTCTTCTTCTTCTTTTTCTTCTTCTTCTTGTGGTTGTATTTCCGTGTTAGCCTCGCATTCAATACAATTTAAAGAAAGGAACGTAAACACTATTCTTTCAGTGTCTTTTTACCCAAGGAAAAAAAAAAAGCATTTAAAAAAATCAATTATAAAGTTTCCAAACATTCAATCAATTATTGCCTTCGGCAAATCAAATATAACGTATACTAACAATAACTCCTTTTAATAAAGAAACAAACCTATCTTGAAAATGTACTCGAATAAGCCAAAATAACTTGAATGAATTTGACGCCGAAAAGAAGCCGGACCTTATCAATTAGTAACTAAATCCTTAATAACAATCGAATCAGCGTTTCTCACAAAACACACTTAAAATTTATTTACAAGCGTATAGGAATTAAATAAACTAAGCCAAACCATATGAAATACGATACGAACACTGCATTATTATTATCCTTGAAAGGCTCATGTCAAGTTCATTTTTGTTCAAACTATATAATTTATGACAGTTTTTTCTGTAATTTATCACTGTTATTTGTTTATTTTTTTAATGATGTAATAAGATAGATCGCGCTATGTTGAGGGTGCCAATGGGGGTACCCAATTGTCAATTAACTACGAGTGCTAATCATAATATGAACCAAAATAATAACAACAAGGGTCATACTTGGAATCCTTAAACCCACAAAAATACTGTCAGTTCGGATTGGAAGCTTTTTTTGCTTTGATAATTATACAGTCAATTCAAAAAATGTTGTCGTCGACCAACTCAAGCCTACGCGACTGAACCGAAAGGAACTCTGGGTAGTAATCATTGAAGCCGAGCTGACTCCATAATTTTATCTGACTAGTTATGCCTGGTTTACAGCACGAACCTTCGTAGGCGAGCGGGAAGTGTTGAAGGAGACGTTTTTTTAATGCCTTCATAATTTCGGAATTGTGAACTGAATCATAACTACTTTGTTTTGCTTTCCCTAAACCCAAAGACATGCATTTGATGGATCGTTTCTCGCCATTATTATCTTATTACTAGAGGGAACAATTAATTCAGAACGAATGTTTTACCGCTTCAGTGATTTTTACCCATATTCCTTTCGGTCCAGTCGCCTAGGCTTGAGCCAGTCGACGACAACGTTTTTTGAATTGACTGTATATATATATATATTTTATTCCTACGATGATCTTTGCATTGGAGCACACTAAACCACAGGCATATATAAAAAAATTAGATCGTTAGCGCGAAAACAAATTGACATATACAATAATTGAACCTGTCTTGATTCGGAAACAAGGGATCGTAATTCATATGCTAATGACGACTTTTCTTCTTCTTGTTGTTGTGATGGCAGCGTTTGGAAAGGAATTTCATTAATTGACCTTGTGCCGGAGAACTGGAAAAAAAATCATGAATCAAAAAAATATAAATTTATTGACTTGATACTACCATTACTACCATTTTCAAACGAAAAATATGAAATGCACCGACTGATTAGTTTTATTGACGGCAGCGAAAATTCCAGCTTGCAGCTCTCAGCTACCGAGTTCGCATGCTTATGGAACAGCAGTAAATTCTCTCGCCTTTTAAGCTAAGAATAAAACATCAAGATAATGAATGTTTTTTTTTATTAGAAAGGGGTTGTTTAGCATTTATTTTTTCGTGTTAGTACCTCGACAAATCACTCTTACGACTGAAAGCCCTGCTAATCAAATATACATCCCTTTTTAAGTTTTTCAACCCTCAAGCAACAACCAAAGACTAATCCGAATAAGTTACAGGTTTCTGCTTTCAAAATTAATACCTACGAGAAAAGAGAAAACTACTTTAAAAATGTAACAATTGCGAAAAGGGCTTCAAGGAGTTCCCCAAGGAGCTCCTGTACTACATCTGTCTCCTGATGTTTTTAAGTGTCTTTATTTCGAGTGACTTGTTAGTTGTCAACTACTTAATCTGTAGAGAGACTTATAAGCTTCATTGTGTCATACATCCGTCGTTCTTGTCCATAATGGACACACTGGGCCAATTTTGATCAATTTTGAAACCGTTGTGCGTCTCATTTCAAATTTATTCAACAGAGTTTTTTAGTTTTAGGCAGTTCATTTTACTGATTTCTCCTTCGTATATATCCCTAGTATTTCTTAAGTATTTCATCATCATCATCGTCATCATCACCGATATTCACTTTTCCTTCGGCGAAAAATAGACCTTATTCGTGGTGTGACAATGTTTTCCCAATTCAGCGTGACAAATCTCCAGAGGATTCATTTTCTTTTGTTTTTACTCTTCGAAAAATGCATGAGTATCCCAAAGGATACATAGAGGATATTACATGGGCTCGCGGAGATACGAATTTTATCTTCGAGTGTTCAATTGATATCTCACGGGWGAGCGCAGCGAACGAGTGAGATATCTAAATTAAACACGAGAAGATAAAATTCGTATCTCCAAGCGTCCATGTAATGTTCTGTTTATTATGTAGATATCGATGAAACTTAAATAAAACGAAAGCTCAAAACTTCTTTATTAAAATAGTAAGCCGATTCAACAGCGATATCTTCACGTGTGAAAGATATCAAGTTTTCGACACTAGAGAAAACCTGGTATTTCATCGATATCTATATAATAAGAAAGGAATAACGATGATATCCCGACGAGTTTCAAAACAATAGCTCTTCATTCCCCCAGAGGTTTGTCACGTTCAATTGGGAAAACATCGTCACGCCACGAATAAGGTCTGTAAAAAACAAAAAAACAAAAAAAACAAAAAAAACAAAAAAATAAAAAAAAACAAAAAAAACAAAAAAACAAAAACACGAATAAGGTCTATTGTTTTAGTATTTTTAACAAAAGTGAATTTAATAAATAACTGAAATTAGTTGTTTTGTCTTTTCAATTTTCATTTATCTCTGCAAGCTGCACAGATCGACAAAGCGTGAGCGCGTGCGTGTTAGAATCACCGGTAGCATAAGACGTAAATTGTAACCAATGAGCCCACCGGATTTATTATATTCACTTGTGTAAAAAATACTAATATCCATATATCTATAGGTCAATATTCAGCGATCATTATCTATTTACACAACCAAAATGAAGCCAAGATATCCGAAGAAATCAGCCATTGATCATCTTCTAACCTCGCGGCACCTCTGAATCTGAAGAGCGGCAAAACAGAAGTTAAAAAAAAGCGAACAAAAAAATAATTTCGGTCAAGCTCAAAAGTTCCGCGCCAAAATACATTCGCATTTAGGCCTTATTAGTGTTGATGTAGACTTTGTAAGCAACTAAACTTCGCGAAACGAGTCAAGTTTATTTTATTTTTATTTTTTAATTTTGTTTTTTGAGCACGTTTACAAAACATTATAGAGTTTGAATGCAAGACTCGAAAATATATTTTGAAATAAAACTGGGATCATTTGCGCACTGTTTTCAGTTAAAAGGTGCCAGAAAAGGTATGCGATAGTGTGGTGGATCCTAAGATTAAGATATGTTTATTATAACCTAATTATATACTTAAATATTTACATTAATAATGAAAAGCGTCTTTCAAAAGATAGGTCTAAGTGATTTCTTGAAAACATCTACAGATCCTGCTTTGCGAAGATCTCTAGGTAGCTTGTTCCATAGTTAATGCTCCAGATTCAACCAGATTCGAACCATAGATATTATATAAAATTATTATACAGATTAGAAAATGATTTGTTTTGTGGTAAGGATTAACAGCTATTGATTTGCTTGATTGTCGTGTGATATCTTCATGGAAACAAACCTTAAAAACTTAACCAGTAATAATTTGCATTCTGGAGTCAAGCATGTGACATCATAGCTACCAAATTGGTTTACACGAATAAGGACAGCCAACTTTTATATGTCACCCAACATGCTAGTCCTTCATTGGGTGACTTTTGCTTATAGGAACGAACTGATACGTCACGAATTAGAAGACTTCTTCCAACCATGTTTGTGCTGACTGCCTGAATGAGAGAGAATATAACGAATTCGGATGTTATACAAAGTAAGTCTAAATACACTAAAGAGAAGCGTTTTGCAATGATATTATACGACGTAATATAAGGCTGCGTTCATAATGTATGGCAGGGGGGGGGGCCAGGTGAAAAATTAAAATGTCCAAAATAATTCACCCATTCAAACACCCCCCTTAAAGTCATGCAAAAAAATACGATCCCACTAAGCAAGGCTTGTAGTTTCTTCCAAAAATTGTGCATCCCCCCATTTTTCTGATAAAAATTTTACCATCCCCCTCTTTTTCCTACCAAATTGTTTTCCCGATCCCCCCTTAATATCACCTGCCCGTTCTGCCATACATTATGAACGCAGCCTAAGTGCACCAGGGAAGTAATTGCAGAAAATTGAATGCRTCTCAGATATTTAGTTCTTTACTTTATAATTTAGTTTCAGAATTAAATCTAAGAGAGAAGGTAATAAAGGATTTATTCCGCAATATTGAATGCAAATGCCTTAAATATATCATCAGTATATTGCCACCTGTGGCTTATTTTGAATGACTTTTTCTTGTCTTGTCTCGTTTTCTTTTTTCTTGTTTTTTTCTTTTTTTCTTGA